CTGAGTGTGTGAGTGCTTCTGGCGAGGAAGAAGAGGGGGTCGAGCCTCCCCTTCACAACATCTTCACCTGAGGGCAGCTGCTTCCTGCAGCTCAGGAGGTCCGCGCTCTTCCCGCTGCTGCTCAGCCTCCTCAATGCGCTGAGGCAGGAGGCAGCAGCCACGACATGGGAGAATGTAGGATTGCCCACCTCAGCATGCTGTGACCCACCAAAATTTTCTTGTGGCCCACCGGTGGGCTGTGGCCCACCAGTTGGCAACCGCTGGTCTATTTTGATCATCTGATGTGCTGTAAATGCATTTTCACAAAAATATATGGAAGAAAGGATTGTAAAACCTGAATGTACTTCAAAACTAATAGTTTTCTGTAAATTTTTGAGTGATTCTTTTTAATATTCTTTTGAGTCTTTTTAATGTGACATCAAACAAATGGGTCAACAGAAGAGTGTATTGAATTAATATAGGTGTGTGTTCTTGGCTGCTTATATATGGTAAATGTACAAATAATGTTTGTGGTACTGATGGGTTGCAAATAATAGTAAAAAGATAGCAACGTGTAGTTTGCCCAGAGGAATGAAAGAATGAAACAACCAGAAGTGGCTAAAATATATTTTGCCCTTTTTGTTCAATGGAAGTAAGAGTTGAATATGTCAGGAATGACAAAATTAATTCAGCAGGAAAGGAGTACATAAGAAGTATATGTAGTTGAAAAGAGAATTTAGAAAATGAATGTAGTTTGAATATTAAGACGATCAATCAATTAAGCACAAAAGTATTTGGAGAGCACTTAAATTGAATTACTGAAAATTTTAAATTAAAAAAAAATCATGCAGTGTATGGATATCATGGAATCAAGGGTAGAAAAGAATGAATGGAATTGGTGTAAATTTTCTTCTCTTGTGCCTTTAATATCTTTGTTTTTTGTTTCTTTTGTGGTTTGTATAACATTGTTTATCCTGAAAAGGGTATATTGTGATAACTGTATGTGGACTGTTAACATCTCTTCATTCATGAACAGGGGATTGTATTTGGTTAGCGAAATTGAATGGATCCAAAATCCATTTAAAAATTGGGGTCTTGGGACTATCTCTTCATGTTTTAAGGTTCCTGATGTTTTGTGAAAGATAATGTAAGAAAACATTTCCACATTCTGTCATTTATCAGGTGATCCCTTCTTTTTTAGTTGAAAAAAAAAATCTCAAAAATAGCTTTATCGTACATCCTGGAAAGCTTCAGAATGCAGCACAAATTATATTCTACATTTTCCCCCTCTAACATAGTGCTCCCCATGAAGGAATTTTTGTCCCTAAGTAATTTTACTCTGTATTATTATGTACTTTTCTAATCTGTATTAACATGTACGTTTTTCTGTCCTCAGAATGAGACTTTCTTATGTCATCGGTTTACCAAATTTGTGATGAAATATAACTTGATGTCCAAGGATAATCTGATCGTACCAATTTTAGAAGAGGAAGTGCAGAATTCAGTTTCTGGTGAAAGTGAGGCATGAGGAGTATCGGGGACTGAAATGAACACATAATTAACATTGTGTATATATAATTTTAGAAATTTCAATCATGTATCCTTAGAGCTTTGTTTAGTATACTTTTTGTATGCTGTGTGCGTTGCCTCTTAATATGGGATATGGTTTTAAGTTATTCATGAGCTGTATATTCAATGTGGCACTCATGGTTTTTAAATAAAATTAGAATTATCTGTTTATACTGCCTGTTAATAAATGAATTTACAGTTCTGTAAAATTGCTGCTAAACAATCATTGGATCTTAGTCTTCAAACAATGTCCAGTTTAAACCTGAGCTTTTCATTCTAATGAACTGTAGCCTTAGTTTGACACTTCAGAAGCTTGCAAGTCCATTTCATTTCTTTCTAACTTTTGTATTTTATGGAAACTATCCTTATTTAGTTTTGCTTTTGGGTGTATGCATATATAGAACTAACCTGTTACAGTACACGTGTATTGAAATATTGGTTATTGCAGTATTAATACCAAATGGTAGCTTTTATTATGCTGCCAAAAATATATTCTAGAGCTTTTAGTTTCTTTCTGGACTTGCCTTGCTGTATCAATGGAGGCTTCTGCATATCCACAAATAGTTATACGTCCAATCCCTTTAAGGCAAAGATTCCCTAGCTGAACTTCTCACCAGTGAATGAAACAATGTGTGCTCTCTCCTGGCCTACAGTGAAATTCTCTGTGGCTTATACTTGTGCATATTTATAGTAATTGCTGACAGACTATACCTCGCATTAAACATTTATGTTAACACTACAGCAGATTGTGCCAAAATAATCTTACTCATTTGTAGGACAAGTCCCATGTACTTGGAAAAGTTTTATCCATCATTTGCAGGTGGTTTCTATTTATCCAAATATTGCCCGAATATTATGTTTTGTATGCTAGTCAATGAATTGCATAGTTATGTCTCCCAATCCAACTGTATATTCTTTACGTAGCATCTTAAGATTTGCATTAGCACTAAAGTTCAGTAAGAACTTAATGGAGTTTAAACTATTTTGAGTGCTATAGAGCTAAATATTTTTAAAAGACAATTATAATGGGTTTCTATACATTGGATGTACATGAATTCAGAAATCTAAAAAAGCACTAGCACTGTTCAGTCAAGTTTGGTATGATGTTTTAACTTTTGGGAATTGAAGGCTGATCCTTTCTTATCAAAGATGTCCCTTTATTTGTTGAAATAGGTTTGTTTGGCCCTTATGTGGTCAAACTAGTTTATTTCCTACTATTCATAACTTGGTTTCAGAGCACATAATGTTCTTGCCTTAATTGCATATAAGATATTATGAATTGGTCCCATAGAGTATCAAGATTGCTGCTCTAATAGAAAGGGAATCTTTTAAAAAGATACATGGATACTTCATAGCAGATGATAGAAACACTTTTGAGTGAGACTGTGCTAGAGGATATTCTTGGAAGTTGAAAGTTCTTCACTGGACTGACATTTGGCTTCTTCAACTGCTTTTATTATCATTTTGGAATGGTTTTAATGGTCAACAGGGTCATCACATCAGATGGTTCTTAACAACAGCAATTATTACACCCATGTGTAATTTGATTAGAGTATGTGGTTGAGTTAAGTTTCAGGGGTTACAAGATGCAGTTGGCATTCTCTATTTGAATGTAGCCTCTGGCTAGTTAACAGACAAATGTCAATAAGCATTAATTTTGAGGCTGCAATAAAATCTTAAGTCTCCCTCTTCCAATACACGCCTTTGGGGTGGGGGGCGAAACCTGATTTTGCTCTTAATAAATCTGATTGGTCTGCACTATATTCAAAGTTCTGTAAATGGCCTGCAACTACATTCAGTTTCTTAATGCTGTTGACTTGAGTACCTCTAATGTGTGTGCACATGTGCCTGCCTGATACTATAGAACTTCATTAAGCTTAAGTGAACTATTGACTTTGTATGCTAAATATATTGAGGGTTTAACTTACATTCTGCATTATAGGGAAACTGAGCTATGTTTGTCTTTTGAAATACTTTGTAAAAAGTAGAGGTTGCAATTAAAAACATTCTTTTTCCAAAAAGTTTGGGCTGCAAAATGATGGTTACCTTTGTTGAGAGCATTCAGATGTCAAAAAAATACACTTAAGTCCTATGCTCTGTTTGTAACATATGGGAGTGATGTCCTAATAGCTGGGTGAAATGTTTAGCAAACTTTAAGCTGAAAGCATGTTAAGTATTTTGAAAGCAAAGAAAGTACATTTCTAAAACAAAAGCATTTACACTGGGGTATTAAGGCCAGTTTGAGTAATACCAATTCTGAACTGGGAATATTGAAGATGATTCAAGAATTCAAAATATGCTTTCTGTGTCACTGAAGCAATGCATAAGACCACTATAATTTTCCATGGAGCTAAATGAGCCCAAGGGCACATGTGTTTAATAACCTAAGACAATCTAAAGAGCAGAACAAGTAATAACTTTCATTGCTAGTATAACTTATTTAGTCAATTAATAACCCTCTTGGTTCCCACTAATGTAAATACTAATAGGTAGTTAATATTTCCATATTATTTCCAATATTTCAGTTCCAGTGCTTGATACTACAGTCAAAGAGGTGTTTGTATGTGCAGAACAAGTTTTATTGAAGCTACTTAAAAGGCTTGAAGATCAGTGAGTCCCAAAGAAAGAACATTGTTAATTTTTATTACATTCAACTTGTAGCAATACTTTCAGAAGTGAAGGGGATAAAATAAAGCTATGAAGTACCTTGTATATGGATATGGTGTTGAAGAAAACTGAATATTGATTTTGACCAGTTCAAAAAAAAACAAAACACCAAGAAATGTTGCTTCTGAGTAGTTTCCTTTATTATTCCACATATAGGCCGAAATTTTGCCAAACTAAAGCAACCATTGCATTACTATAGACAATTTTTACCCTCTTCTGACCAGAGCCCATGCTTTGCTGCCTCTTTTGGGCTTTGGAATGCATCCCTCCTACATTCCACCACATCATTTTTAAAGTCCTTTGTGGCTTAGGGATGGGATACCTACTGTAAGGTACTATCTTCTCCCAGTTGTTTTTACCAGTCCAATTTGTTCTGGTAGGTTGGGTCTGTTACAGGTCTCATTAGTTAAGGAATGTCAGGTGATGGGGACCAGGAAACATGTTTTCTCTGCTGTAGCCACTGCTTTCTAGAATATTCTCCCTTCAGAGATCAGAATGACTCTGACCCTGTTGGCTTTTATAAGGCCATGAAGTTGTGTACCTGGGTTGTGTACCTGGGTCTGAAACCTCAAGTGAGTTAAGGGCCCCATTTCTTGGCTGTATTCTTGCCTATTATAATAGTTCTATGCAGCAACCATGTATATGTAGTTTGTATTGTTTTTAAATTGTTTTACGTTTTATGATGTAGGCTTCCCAAAAACACTCATTTTGACGGGCAGCTATTGAAGTAAAATACAACTAAATAAATACCCAGAATGATTGAAAGCTAGTGCTGCAATTATGCCATTATAATCTTAAAGGATAGGGTGATCTTTAGGTGGTAATTGTTTCAAAATAATTTTAACCTCATAGCGAACCCCATTCCTGGTCCAGGGTAGCCCGTCTTCCCTTAAGAAACAGCTGAGCTATTTCAGTTGGAGAAAATGTAAGGCAATGGTTGACTAATTTTGAGAACTTTTGGGATTTAAAATACAATGTATATTTTAGGTGAATTATAAAATACTTGCTGTGCAGGAGCATGTGCTTTCACAAAATAGCTTCTAAAGGTGTGCATGGTGAAACTGTCCCAAAACAAACAGAAGTGTTGTTGGGTGCCAACCAATATCTTCATCACTTCCTCTTGCTTGAAGGCAGGAGTTCAGAATTATTCTTAGCTCAAGGCCAAAACCATCTCTCTTCAGACTTCTAAGGAAATGAGAAATATGCACTTGCAATGAACACTGTACTTGCTGCTAAGTTCTCTTGTTTTTGTTTTCTTCCTATATTTTTGGTAGAACTCAATGTTTTCCCCCTTAAGGTTTGATACTGTCATCAATTGAGCCTATAATTCTAGATATGAGAAATAATACTCCTCAGCAAAGTGGGATTTAGTTTTGAGTAATCTCTCTATATAAAAGCGAAATACCACTCACACATCATCACAAAATCTCCAGAACTGTAAAGCCTACAAACTTGAAATTTGGCACGTATGTTCCTCTTGGCTTCTAGGTGTTCACTAAGAATGGATTTTTTTGAAATGACCATCAGAGTATTAGTATTTCATATATTCATATATTTCATGCTCTGATGCTAAGGAGTTCTATTCCCTCTCCCCACCCAAAAAAAAAATCTGTCCCAAATGCAAAGCACAAGCAGAGGAGAGGAGTTTCAGTTTCACAGAACCAAGCAGTTTCAGTATAGAACAGTTGAGCTAAGCCACACCCAGGCTCCTTGCTGTCTCCTCGCTCACATAGCAAATACTGTTTCAATTTCCATGTTTCCGTTTCCAAACAGCCCTCAGCTCTCACACACTGACAGGACTCTAGCCAGATGAATACTGTTGGATGCTGGTAGCAGAGGCAGATTTCCCCCTTATTTTTTCCTCCCCAAAAACTGAGCCCGATCACAGTTTTGTAGCGAAGCACTGGTATCAAGCTGGTTATTAATAAGATTGTACTGTTAGAATTTTATTTAAAATATCTGCAGATTAGAATAGAAAATTTCCAGCAATTGAGAATACCTTAGGAATAATAAAAACAATATACTGGTATCGATTTAGGAGTGGCTATAAAGATGCTATCCGATTCTCCAGCAAAACGAAGACACTCCTGGAAACAGACTTTAGAATAGTGGTGAATATCTAGGTTAGGTGTAGGATGAGGGGTGAAGGTTCATTCTCCAACCAACCCACAAACTCGGAGAATGAGCCTTCACCTTCACAGTCTTTATAAGCTGTTTACTTGGATTCTCTGGTATATAAGAATGTTTTAAGTGCTCTACCTTCAAGTTTGTAATTGCCATGCAAAATTTCAATCTTAATCCTAACATTGGACTGATGTTACTGTAACATTCACTTGTGCAGTTTGATGAAAGAAATGGAGCAGTATATTTTAAAGCAACATTTGGTCCTTAACGTTCTGACCATGCCAGCTGAGGTTCATCTGGAGGTTTAGATGAATGTTTGGCATAGCGGCACCCTGCCTAAAGCATTTGTTCACTCAGGAATGTTTCAATCTCCTAATTTAACACAGTTGGGGAGTCATCTGTAAGCATTTGCTGAAAAAAAGAATATGGTCTAATGCTGGAGTGAGCAGCTGAGAGCTCTCTGGCTATGATTGGACAAATTCCTGCTCAGTGATTACAGCAACAGATGGCCAGGAGTGTAGGAAAGACTGGAATTTGTTCACCTGTTTTCTAAGTTCCCATTGCAGATGGGAAATAGAGACTTGCAAATTTTTCTCAGACTTAATATCAGGACAAGGATAGAAGGTCTGCTTTCAATGAAGAAAGTTCCTTGATTAGACTATCATTTATTCATATATAATAAAAATAGAAGAAGTAAACTGAAAATCTTGTTAAGTGATAAAGGGGCTGACAGGTAGTGTCCAGAGCACAGAGAATTCATGTAATTTTCTTCCATGGTGTATTTCAAAGGAAAATTCCTCAATTCACCCCATTTATAGCAGTAGTTAAATTCCCTTTCTGCCCACTCTGATCATTTTTCCTTCCCCGGACTGAAGCAATACGTGCTTTTATTTTTAAAAAATGCAGTCAGATATGAAAAAATACATTTAAAATTAATAATTAGCTTCATAGAACAACTCTCATGCCTTCCCAGGACAGAATCTAAAGGCATTTGGGTAAAGCTTTATTTCTTCAACTTCTCAACAATCTCATATTATAGAGCACTCAGAGATATTTCAGCAAAAGGTTTCATGATCACCATTTTAATTTTCGTATTTTAAAAACAGTAAAAGTGAAGCTCAGTAATGACACAGTTGTTTAGAAACCATTTTAATTTATTCTTAAACCTTGTTATGTTTATAACTGTATAGTATTATTATTGCATCATATTGTCTCACTGTAGAAAAGGTTATGCTTTCCAACAGGACAAAGGTCAACAGCTCATCTATAGCTGTTTCCTTTCCAGTTGCCAGGAAGATTGCAAAGAAAGCCACCTGCAGTTTATAGCATTGTTCTGGGAATGTAACATACCGATTCAATTGACCTAATGTACAAGTTAATAATTCTATAAATGCATTAGAAATAGTTCCATAGATTCCTCAATGCAGTTGACAAAAAATGACTTCAAGATTTATACCTATTTGGTTGAGGAAATAAACAATTATGCCTATGCATATTAATATTACATTTTTACATTAAAAATACCTATGGGTTCCTCTTAGTAATTTTCTGGTCACATACAAGTAACTTGAGTGACTCCATCTTCTTGGTCAAACTGTCCTTCCTCCAGTTCTCTAAGCATGCCGTCACTGCTCTTGAATGCAGGGAAGCTTTCACACTGGGCAGATTCATCTTTGGGCCAGCACTGTGGAGAAGGTACTATATGGAATTCCTCTGTAGGTTGCATGTGTTGGACAGGCTGACAAGTAGCTGTGTCTTTTCCACTTACGTTCAACTTTTCTTCTCCAAATTGCTTAGTAGTTTTTTTCTGAAATAAAAAAGAACTTGATTTATAGTTGATATAGGCATGGATCATTTTGAATATGAGCTGGGATTTTAGAATGGCTGGGTGGTAATTGAATTTAGATTTTTTCCCCCACACACTGGCTGTTTTTACAAAGCAAGCTTTGACATCTATTGTGTATTTCTACAACCAAATCCAATTATGGAATGTAGTTCCTTATCCCTGTCTTCATAATTATGTATAGCCAGCACAGAGCCCTGCCAAGTTCCCAGGAGATTGAAAAGATTTTAGATGTTGAATACAGAGGATTCTGCCAATGTCTGCACAGCATTCCTATCCTGTAGTTGGAATCAACCATCAATTCAACAGACTATAAATCTGGCACTCTAGCATAGAAACCTGAGTGCTACTGGATCCTTAACCTAGTCCTGTTTTGTATACATTAAACAATGCTTTTTCTCATTTTGACCTAACAGTAGTATTTGCCAAGAGAAAGATTTTTAAATAAAACTCTAAATTAAGCTTCCACTGTTGGTGTCCAGTGTAAAGATTCTTTCATAGTGAACTTGATTCCTGGTGACTTCATGTCCTTACTACTTTATTACAAACCTTACAGGCTTTTGTGGGATGTTCTTTAACTTCTCTGTTTAGGATACAGCCTTGGGATTCCCTAATAGTCTCCCATCCAAATATACAGTAAATCAGGGTTAATGCTATTTAGGGCCTGATCCAAGATGAGGTTGGCTAGTTCCTGAGCTACTGCTATACAAGATTTTCAAACAGTATTCTTGCTCACTCTCTCCAAATTATTTCAGCAAATCACTTTCCCACTCCACTTTTTTTGCATAAAATAAAGTCTGAATTGGAAAGGTCTTTAAATTGCACAACACCTGTGATTTATAATTAAACAGCATTATAAACTGACAGATATTTTAAAGAGCAAAATAGCAACTTTGATGATGATTGTACCCTTAAACAACTTAAATCTAAAACAATAAATTAAATGTTTGATGCATCTGAACAGAGATGCACCTATGTCATTCTGTTTAAATATTTGATTCCTAGTATTTTGTATATTTAGTATTACTAACTGGAACTGAAATACTAATTTCTTGACCAAATGTTTTTAATGGTCTTCTTTAATCTCTTGTTTCTCTCATCATAATACAGTCAATTCCATGACTTAGAAGCAAATATTTCTGTAAGAAAAAGTTTATCAATTAATACATTAAATGAGTAATAACAATATTATAGATTTATAAACTTGTTTTAATCAAGTAGGGTTTTTCTACAGTGGTTACTGTATGTTTAGTGTATCATATTTTTAAATCCAAAAATTTTAAAGTTTAGTCTCAGCACTGACAATTAATTGATACAATTGTGGTGTCATATTACTCAGCAAATCAAAACAGTCTGTTTAGAGCTGTGGTGGTGCAGTGGTGAGAATGCAGTATTGCAGGCTACCTCTGCATTCCACTGCCAGGAGGTCGATCCTGACCAGCTCAAGGTTGATTGAACCTTTCATCCTTCCGAGGCCGTAAAATTAGGGCCCAAATTGTTGGGGGCAATGTGCTGACATTGTAAACTGCCAGAGAGTGCTGTAAAGCACTATGAAGCAGTATATAAGTGGTATTGCTATTGCTACAAATTAAAATTAATTAGAAAGAAATACTTCATTGAGACATTCCAGGAATAAAAGTTTCTGAAAATCTGTATGTATTTCTTTTTGAAGCAATGGACTTGGTCTACAACAGGGGTGTCAAACTCAAGGTAGTTAGATTTGACCTGCAGGGCCACCTGAGAAACAGTGGACTGGACCTCAGGGCCTCAACTCAACCCAGGTCGACAGGGCGCTGATCTCCAGCCTTAGATTTGTGGCGTCACCTTGGCCCCGCCCCTTGGGTGTGTGCACAGGTGATGAGTGTGTGGGGTCTGGTATCCCTGGGGACTGCGTTTTGAGCGCTTCCCTTTCACCCAGGATGCCAGCCCTTGCACACTTGCCGCCTCCTATGCACAAACTCAGGAAGCGGGGCCGAAGCGACAGCACAGATCTAAGGCTGGCCACAGTCTGGCCCAGAGAGATGCCACCAGGTTGCAGATCAATGCCGCACCAGCACTAGTGTCTCTATGCCCCACTCACCAGCCTTTCACATGTGAGTGTGGGTATATGCACCCGTGGGGAAGAGGTGGGGCTCTGCAGCTCGCTGCGACCACCAGGCTGGCCCTCCAAGTAGGTGCAGCAGCAGAACCGGCAGCAGGCAGAGACAGGGAGGCACACTGTGGGTCTACCAAGCGGTGGTGGCAGCACCGAGGTGCATGCACGACAGGAATAAGCTCTACAGGCAGGCCAAGGCCATGAGGCTGCCAAGAAGATGACCAACAATGACCTGCTCTCCAACTGCAAGCCAAAACAAAGAGTGGGACAGAGTAAGCTCATCCAGCAGTCAGCATCACGTACCTCCCTCTGCCTCCATCTGCTTCTGATGCTGCTGCTGCACCTGCAGCTTCAGTGGCCAGCCTGGTGATGGCAGCGGGGTCCAGTGCCACAGAGTGCGCCAACTGAGGGGCCAGCAGGCTGCACGTGCAGCCAGAAACCATTGTCCCCCGTGCACAAAGGGTGGTGAGTGCGCGATGGCCGACGGTTTCCAGTTGCAGTCACCCTTCCCTCACCTCACCTCATCCCACATGGCCTCCCACCCACCGCCCCACCTACCGGAGACACCTAGATTCCCTCTCCAACCCTGTCAGGTGCCCACAGGCGTCCCCCACAAAATGTCGAGCTGGCCATGTCCCCCAGACCATGTCTAGTCAGCCACACCACCCTGGCCATGCCCCTCCCCCCCAGCCCCTGGCAGACAACCACAGTGCTGATCCAGCCCTCAATGAAATCTACAAAAATGTGGCATGTGACCTGCTTTCCTGTCCCTTCCATCTGTTTTAATTTCCTTTGCTCCCACCCCAAGAAATATAGTTTTAAAATCAGGAGATCCTCCTAGGCTAAGGGGAAAGAAAAAAATTAAAGAGATGCAGGCCTCCTTCATGAAACATGAAATAGACTGCTTTTCTGCCCTTGCTTAGCATAATAGCCCACCCTCTTCAGTGGAGCTTTTCAAAAGAAGTTTGAGAAGGGAGGGGGCTGCCCTAGGGAAGTGATTGCTGAAATGTGTAAGAATTCAAGTCATGCTTGCCCTGCATTTGCAAAATGCAACCTCTTATAAATGGATTCTGCTAAACTTTCTCATATTCAGTTTTCTGTTTCTTTGGTGCCCAGACCAAGTATGAAAACATGTCATCAGCTTGCATTTTCCCTTTTTTTTTCCTTTAAACATTTCCAGACTTTAGGCATTTTTAGTAACTTGTTGCCATGACTGCTTTAGGGAAGAAAAGAAGGAAACTGAGCAAAAAACCCAATTGATCCTGTGGCTATTTTCTTTGATCCTTTTCTCTTCCATGAGATAAATTAACAATGCGGAATCTCAAAATAAAAGATATTCATAGGCAACTTGGCTTCCAAAAACATTAAGGGGGTAGGATTGGATGTGACAGAGGAATGTGCAGTGAGATGCCTTGTAAGAAAAAAAATGTTAATCGGTTTTTGACCCTTAGGACTCTACACGGAGACAGTGACTGTAGGCCAGAAATAAAACAGTTATTAGTTTCACCACATCCTGCTAAAAAAGCTGAATACATAAGTGCATAAGGAAACAGACAAAAGATCATCCAAGGACATCACTTTGGCAAAATATTCTGAATCTTTCATTTTCAATGTCCTTTTTATCTCAGAAGGAAATGGATAACAATTTGTCACATAGCTCATCCTAGTAATTGCATAACTCTACACAATGCACTCTTTATAATGGCATGGAAAAAAGAAGTGCTTTCAGTAATAATGAAGTTCTTTCACATATTGTCATATAGGTGTTGCGGACTCTCGGGGCATGCCTAAGAGCTTCAAATGGTCTTGCAGGATAAACTCCTCTGAATTCTCTGATCTCCTTTGCCTTCATGAGCCCTTTGCCCCTTTACATGATGGGCAAGACACAGGAGTAGTTTTTAAGTGAGCAAGCAGGGATTATTTCAGATTGTGATTCTTACCTCAGGTATCTGGACAGCTGGGTTCCCCATAGCTGGCCGCTGAAGGAAAACAACTTGCTTAGTGGCTAGATTGCCTTCACTGAAACATTAAAAAAACTATTTTTAAAATTCTTTCTCTGGTTTTGTTCATATACGATTCTGCAGTATTCACTGGAATTAATGAGGCTGAAACTAGATATTTTATTAGTGAGGTGCCACATACAACAAACATAGTTGTGCATGTATATAACACATTTATTTATATATTGCCTACCTTTTAGTATCCAGCAAAAGAGACAGTACTCCTTTCAGTCACCATAAATTTAATTGTATGCTATTTCAGCAAGGAATATGCTATCAGGGCCTGTTGTCAGATGCCATTTCATTCCTATCTACAAAGTAATTCTTCTCAATGCTAAATATTGTAGCTATGATGGGTGGGATTCAACCGTTGTTACTACCAGTTCAGTGACTATGTTTTGCGCGTGCATGCGTGCTTTGCGTGCACCCGCCCGTGTAAAAAAACTTAAGCTGTGCCGCCCGGACAGCTGAAAAGCGCTGCATGTAGGTGCGCAGCATTTGAAAAGCCACTTTTTTCCTGCTTTTTCAACCTCAGCTGTGCCGCGGAAAGCAGCTGAAGTTGAAAAAGCAGGAAATAAAGGACAGGTAAGAGCCCAGGTGGGCAGGTGGGCCAAACAGCAGCAAACACAGAACCAGTTCGGTGTCTGCTGTTCTTCAGAGCTACCGGTTCTATAGAGCCGGGCAGAACTGGTAGCTTCCCAATCCTGACCTATGATTTTATTTATACATTGTTCTAAAAGAATTTCTCCCTTAAGTTTTTTAAGTCAGCTGTCACCCCATCATATTTTCATTTTTCTGGAATAATTGAGGATGAAATGTCCTATACAAAAACAAAATTACAGAACATCAACATAATTTTTATGAAATTACTGACTACACTTTTCCAACCAAATTTTTCTCTTAATATTTAAAAGAAATGTACTTGCAAAATTTATTCAGAGGCAATGCAGCCTCTAAAATTACCTTCTCTTCGGTGTATGAACAGCTAGTCATGCCCAAATTTGTTACATCTGTTAATGTAAATAGTACATATTTGGCTTTCCCTAATAGTAATGTGGTCAAGTCATATTTGACCTAGGAATTAATGATCTTGATGAGTGTTTAAAGGCAGCCCTTTTGTTTTCATTAACATGTTTATTTATTTCACAAACATGACACATACACACACCTTATTATTACATCTGTCTGCTTTGAAAGAGCTTCCTTCATTCTAAGTATTGTCAAATCACCTGGGTCCACATATGGTGCAAAGAACCAATGTAGTTTCTTTACTTTTGGTTTGGCAGAATATGTGAGCTTCGTAGTTGTTAAGTTCATCCCAAAAAGTTAAATTTGCCCTCCAGGGTTTCCTTATGAAGACATACACAGCCCTTTTTTTGTTGATTTGTTTTTGTTTTGGAGGAAGGGGGTGTTTTACTTTTGGCAACAATAGCAAAGTGGCTTGTTAAATCATCTTCCAGGATAATTTTTCATCTAGTCTATAGCCCTTGTTTTTCCTGAGAGCTTCTCATCAATGCAACTAACCAAATTTTCACCAGAATTAATTTTTTCAAGATTGATCAAGGTCAATGCATCACCTATTCTGCAAACAGTGATTTAGAAGATTGGCTTAGTACACTGCCTGATATTAACAACAGTATGACCTGGCAATCAAACGATCAATCAATTAATCATTAGCTTTGTAAACATCCTGGGATTCCATTAAGAATGCTTATGAATGACATTAGAAAGACAAGAGGAAAAAGGGGACTTCTCAGTTATTTTTCTGCTTTTTTTAAAAAAAGAGTAAGGTTAAGAATTTCTCTGGAAACAAGTCATCTTTCTCCATCTATTTTATGTTGTGACACCATAGAATCATCAAAGACATTAATAACTCATGGCTAAACTTTAAGTTTAAAGAAATGTCCATGCTGTAGCACTGAAGCTGCTTTAAAGAACAACTTTAAAATAGACCTGGTCTTATTAAAATGCTGAACACGATAAATGTCAGGGGATAAATTCACAATTGAACTGAATGAAGCTGGGATTGCCCTTGAATTTAAATGAAGGAGGGAAAGAAAGTACATTAAAAGGATCTGTTTTATGTGTTAAATTTTCTTTTTATATTTTGTCGTAACAAAAGATATAGGTGGACGTGGATGAAAAAATAAGGAAGAAAACACATTGCTTCAATTAGATATTTATCATAGCTTTTGCCTTTTTAATTTGCTACTTGCATATTATATTTAATGGCATTATTGAACTTGTTCACCAGTAAGAATTGAATTTATTCATATTAGAATATATAATATTCTTATTTTCATATTGGAATAACTACCAAAAAAAATAAATGCAGTGGCATAATGCATCAAATACATCATATGCTGTTTTGACAGGTTATGCCACCTTGATTTCAGTTATGATCAGCTACTAAAGATAATGTGCACCATGTTAATGACTATCACACTAAGATGTCCAAATCCCTGCTGGCTGCTGACTGTTAAGGCAGATCTAAAGTCAGAGAAGCATTTGTACTCTTCCATCCATGTTTGACATCTTCCACCTTTCACTGCGAAGGAATTATACAATTTCCTCCAAGGTCAGGCTTGTGGACAAGAGTTGGGAGAGCCTGAGTGCTTTTTTTTTTTTTTTTTACTTGCCCCTGAAATAGTCCAATATCCCTTTTCTAAAGCTTTATTCACTTGGGATTTTCCAATCCTTGAAAGGGTTTTCTGGAAAGTGGTATCCAAAGAATCCTACGGCCCATGGGCACGCAGGATGACACCCTAAACTTTGAGCAAAAATACACTTTCATGTATGTAAGAAGGGAGAAGTTCCAGTAGCTCTTCTTGCTACTGTCCCCATTTCCTGGGGGGGGGAAATCATTTTCTACTATAGTTGATTTTTGGTGAATCTGCTTTAGGGAGAGGACACAGGAAATCTTACTGTGAAAACAGAAACTCTTCTAATTGCAGGATTTAAAGAATTATTTTGGGGCAAATGCTAATATTCCTGTAATCCTCTGAACAAACTGTGTGTGAACTGATGCAAAAGAAAACTACTCTGCATTTAGCAGAAAGTAAAAGCTATTAATATTCCACTTGCGTACTGAGGTCAGAGTTCAAAGTATGTGGGAAAAACAGAGAACTGTAGACTGAAAAACATGTTATTCTTTTTTTTAACCATGTGAGCAATGCCTCATGACAATGTGAGCGTAAAGTGTTTCACACACATTAATGCAGCACTTCCTCAATTTTTAAAATTAAAGTAGTAACTATGTTTATAATTCAGAATCATTAGCAGTCTAAAAAAGAACTAATGATGATTTAATTAATTCAGTAACTTGGACTGCACTTTTTAAAACTGAACCAAATAACATCTTCCCCATTTATAACAAATTTCCCAGATGCGTCAGTGCTCCCATTTAGCCATGAACGTGCCAAAGCGGGGTTCTAGGCTACAGATTCCCTTGTGCACAAATGCTTTGTGTATCATTCATGTCGCTGATCCAATTGCCTGGCAGATTCACAGTCTATAAATGAGGGCTGGAATCACTTGCTTTAAAAAGCCAATAAAGAAAGCTTTTAACTTTTCTAAAAAAAAACTCCCCCCCCCCCATAGCTGATTAAGAAAGGCTGCTGACTCAACACATGTGCTTTTAAAGGAAGAAATAGATATGTTGAACTAATTGTTGAAAAACCAGTGCTCAAAATACACTTTTATACATCCAGTTTCTGTAGATTGTTGTGTTATTTGGAATGATACACCAGTGATTTAGAAACTATGAGGAATAAGTGTAATAAGTGTCTTAAGTGTAATAAGTGTCTTATTTATATTAATATTTTTTTCTCTGTATAAGGTGAGAAGTTATCTATTTCTCGTCAGTTGTAAAATGGTCCAAACCTGGCTCTTCTGCCAATTAGCTTGGGGTTCCAGTGGGGGAGCATCACAGTGGAGGTGGTTGATCTATTAACAACACCTCCTACTCTCCCCTCTCCATCCTGCTCCTGGCCTCACTGTCTTTTAATTGGCTTGTAATGTTTGGATTTTGTGTTGCCTTATTTATGTTTTTAGCTTACATAGTTTTATCTTTTATATTGTAAGCCGCCCAGAGTTAACTTGATGGGCAGCCTATACATTTTATAAATAAAATAAAATAAGTACAATATATTTGAAAAGAATTTTATCTTTGGGAGAGCTTTTTGGAAGACTAGCTAGAAAAGCAGACTTAATTTCCTTTTAAATATGCACAATTTCCTCTTTCTCCTATTAAATAATTATGTTCAGAAATCTTTGGTTCATAAGAAATGAATGTGTTTTTTGTGGATTAGTTTTTCTTTATTTGCATATGATGAAAATAAGTTTTGTATTTGCATTGCTTTTTTGTATAATAGTTCAAGGGACTTCAGACTAGCTGAGCTGTTTAATCCAGTTTGATATAATAAAATATTAGTATATGTGAAATTAAGAATAGGGTTAAAAATGTATGTGTGTGTGTGTGTGTGTTTGTGTGAATATGTGGACATAGGTGTGCATACTGAATAGCTAGTTCACATGTGACTTTGGTCACATTTTGCAGCTGTGATGAGAGCCTCTACCCCTCTATTTGTAGGAAAGTTATAGTTCATGATTCTCATCTATATATGCCTTATTTTAATAAAGGATTGCTATTTATTATGACTCAAAAAAAACACTATACAGCTTTACTTATTCATTACTACCACAGGATAGCTATGTAATGACTCAAATGCTGTTTTCTGCAACAGTCCCTTGGTTATAAAAGATTTCAAACTTCCCTTTTTTCCCTAATGCCCCTTCTGCTATCTACAAATACTCAAAATAAGGATGGAATCTATGAGCTGAGTCTATTTGTCTTCATTCTATATGAACTAAGCTTGTTTTTCTTGAAAGATATGCTATTTGGTCTGCAAAGATACTGATTGGCATAATGGGATAATACTGTATATCTCCTGTTAACTTTTCTCAGTTGATCACTTTAGTTTGCAATAGGCAGAAGATGGAACTCCTAGGACATTTATTTCATTCAAGCATTTCAAACTTTAAATGCTCATCTTCAGAAAATACATTAAAAGTTATTTTTTAATCTGTAGATAAATATTTCTAAGATATTATTTTTAAACAGGGAATTCAAAAAATGCTGTTATCCCTGTGAGAAATAAAATAAAAATACCATAGCACTGATACTGCTTTTCAGTTAAAGAGAATTAGTGCAGGACCTAGGCTAATTCTCATGAAATAAATATCTAATTACTTGAATCAATTCCGAAATTACTCTGCCCTCCAACAGATTATATGGAAAGATTTCCCCCCTGTCTATCTCTGCTCAATTGTTACTGAAGTAATGGGCCAGCTGCCTCAGAGATAGATGTTTAACTATATCATAGAGAGAGATTGTTTAATTGTGCTACCTGATGGTTAAATACCAAATAGATGTTTAAAAATCTACTATTGGTTACAGCTGACCATTTAAATCCTATGAAGACATTAAAAAAGGAAAAATCACTAACGTGGAAGACAATACAGATACTTGCAAATATTAAGTCTTTCTTCCTGCAGACAACTAAACTATTTGTTGTGTTCTCAGATGGACATTTGAGTGAGATGAGCATGAATATCACCCATAAATACCAAGGAGATGTCACATATTCCTCTCTTACTGCCTGTGTAGTTCTGCATCATTCATGAAGCATTCAATTTATTCTCATATTTGCTTTACAGGTAGTCCTCATCTTATGACCACAGTTGAGTCCAAAACTTCTATTGCTAAGTGAGACATTTTTTAAGTGAGCTTTGGCTCATTTTATAACCTTTCTTGCAGAGATGGTATTCAGCAGGTTCTGACCAATTCTGGAGAACCAGTAACGAAAATTTTGAGTAGTTCGGAGAACTGGCAAATGCCACCTCTGACTGGAGATTTTACAGTATCCTTCCCCTGCCATGCCCACAGAACCGGTAGTAAAAAAATGTGAATCCCACCACTGCTTTCCTGCCACAATTGTTAGATGAATCACTGTAGTTGTTAAGTTAGCAAATCCAGTTGTTAAGTGAATCTGGTTCCCCATTAATTTGCTTGTCAGAAGGTCACAAAAGGTGATCACATGACCCTGGGACACTGCAACGGTCATAAATATGAGTCCTTTGCCAAACATCTGAATTTTGATCACGTGACCATGCTGCAATGGTCATAAACGTGAAATGTTTTAACTTTGAAGAGTCATTAAAGGAACTGTTGTAAGTCAAGGGCTAACTGTATATTCTTGTTGTGTATTTAGCAACTAGTCCTCAGCTTCATATTTCAACAAGCATTTCCTAATTTAAGCCATCATTTTTTTGTTTTGTAAACCGATAAATTTTCAGTTAATTTCTCAAATTCAAGTTTCTCAATGATCCATTCAAGAGGAAAAATGTAAGGCTTAGTCGCTGATTCAGCCACCATTCTGCAAATCTCAAATGATGGTCTGAATTCCTTCCCTCAGTCTTTCAAAATCATGCACAAGAATACCAAAACCTCATGAGATTTCCCATACATGTGTGTGTGTGTGTGTGTTTACACACACACACACATATTTTAGCCCCTTTTGTCTTCAATTACATTCTCAGGAATAACAAGAGAAATTGTTATTTCATCTACCTGTCCAGTCGGATGACAGGAGTAGGCAACACACATGTTAAAAGCCAGCCAAATTCCGCCAAAGTGTGCAGTAAAGGACCATAATCAGTTTTGATTTCACTGTCCTGTTAACAAAAATAGATACAGAAATATATATGTAAGAATAGGGTAAGTATTTCCACAGATTAATCACGAGATGTGGAGAGGAAGGAGGGGAAACCCAAAGGTTCATGCATATTAAAAAAGGATTATTAATCATTAACATACAAAAAATAAGAATAGTATACGCCCATGCATGCACAGACATGCATATACTTTTCCTAAAGAAATTCAATTCCATTAAGTTTAGTTCCATTTTATTTTTAGTATAGACCTGAAAACACAAGCCAAAACTTCTGTTCATTTGTGGTATGCATGCCAAAAGCTGATTTTATAATATTTACTATAGATAAAGCAACCCAATGCTGGTCTAATCAGAAATGAAATCCCATTCCTGGAGTAGCAATCTTATTTAGTTTTGCAACACACTGGAAATTACATTAATATATACTTTTAATATCTTACAACTTATCAAACATTTTAAAAGTTACTGTACACATCATTTTCTTTTCCATTTGTTAAATAATCATTTTGTTTCTATAATAGCATAACAGTTTTTAAAGATGTTATATTACATAAATATTATTATTACTGGTATGGCCTCAAAAATATTCAAATTACATTGGGTCAAAAGATTGTGTATGTGTGTGTGTGTGTGGTCTTGAAATGTTCTTGTTCCTCACAGCCCTTTCTCCCTAATCTTCTCTTTAGTTTCTAAATGTGACTGAACCTAAAGTACATATATATTGTGACTTTAATGATGTAAGTAAATTAGCAAGCTAAGTACAAAGAAGAAATTATCTGTCTATAGATACAGAGGACTTTTCCCTCTTAAGAGCTCTAATTCATGCAAAGCCATTTCTGCATAATTATTGGATATAAAACAGTATTTTAAAAAAACTGAGAAGCTTCTGTTGCAGCCATGTCATTACCATGGAGCTACTTTTTATCATAAGAAGGGGGGAAAGGCGGGAAAACTTCATCTGTCCTTCATCTGCACATGAACATTCTCTAGAATAGATTCCCCCCACCCCATTGGTGGGATTCAATTTTTTTTACTACCAGTTCTGTGGGCGTGGCTTGATGGGAGTGGCAGGGGAAGGATACTGTAAAATCCCCAGTCAGAGATGGTGTTTGCCGATTCTCCAAACTACTCAAAATTTCCGCTACTGGTTCTCCAGAACTGGTCAGAACCTGCTGAATACCACTTCTGCCTCACCCCCAATTTATTCCTGTTTCTTTCTGAATTCCAAAAGCAACAGTTGTCTGAGTTATTTGAAGCTATAATCAGGGTTTGGCAACTTCTAGATGTTTTGGACTATTTCCCAGCTCTCTTCTCTTTAAGTATTTCAGTTAAGGTAAATTGAAATTTAAAAGTTCTGAAGTATCCATTGTTTGTCCCTGACATATATGATACAGTGATTGCTGAGATCACATAGCAATAGCACTTAGACTGATATACCGCTTTATAGTGCTTTACAGCCCACTCTAAGCGGTTTTACAGAATCAGCATATTGCCCCCAACAATTTGGGTCCTCATTTTACCTACCTTGGAAGGATGGAAGGCTGAATCAACCTTGAGCCTGGTGAGATTCGATCTGCCAAATTGCAGGCAGCCGGCTGCAGCAGAAGTAGCAGTACTGCACTCTAACCACTGCGCCACTGAGGCTCTTTTTAATTATAATGATATAATTAAAAACTAATCAAAGAATCCCCAAGTGATTCCAGTTGTCAACACTTATTTATGGAATCACTTGGGGAACTGAACTGGTCAGCTTTTTTGTGTAGTAACTTCTATGAAATGAGTTCTTCCAAGTGGAAATGATATTGCACATATGCGTTGTCGGCGAATGGCCGCTCCTTAGGCAAACTTTATGACAAAGAGTCCTGCATTACAAAATATAAAATATGCAAATCCAAATGGAGGATGCTTCTCAGCATGAAATATTCAATACATGTGACACAGAAATGGCAATTTAGTAAATCCTCTATTTAACAGAGCTCAGTGTAATTTGGATTTAACAGAAAAAGTATGCTGGATCTGAGTTGTTCCAACAAAATTTACTGTATAAGAACAGACTTTCCTACCTTTTACTGCTAACAAGAAGGAATAAAGCGGGGAATAGAAATTGAGAGACTACAGTATAGAACCAGACATCTTAACAAAGAGTGGATGGTTGAAAAGATGAATATGGGAAGCCAAAGAACAGATGATCATCTGAGACTTGTCAGCTTTGTAAATCTGATAACTATAGGGAGGCCAGTAGCTGAATTTGGTTGATGAAACTTCCTTTTTCCGCATGAAGACCAAAAATTAATCCTTTCATGAAGTCTTCCATGCATAAAGGGGCACCTCACTTGAATCAGAACCAATGCTGAAGTTGCCCACTTTAAGTTCTGGAATATGCTTTTGTGTCTAGAGAAGCCAATGCACTGGTTTTAGTGCTATGTTTTTCTTTCTAGTACAAGAGAAGGAAAATGACAATTGTTTCACACTTCCAAATTTAGCCTTGTGATTCCTTTTGTTTCCCCCTTCAATCTACCTCACCATTTATATAAAAGGCAAACTCCAGGGTGCAAAAATGTTAGATAATATTGTACAGTATTTTAGACTGTTACTGTCATCACTTTCAGGAAAGTACAACTTCTAATATAAAAGTCTGTTGTTGAGTTTGAAAAATCCCATTTGGATTTAATTCAACTTTAACAGAACCACTTGTTTCATTTCTTAATTTGAAGATTTCATTTATTTGTTTATTATTGCAAACTCCTGATATTAATTTGTTTGAGGATTTTTAAAAATTTAAACAGGACGTTATCTTTAATGACTGCCTATCATCAACATCTTTTTAGTTGTGACAACCACTCCTACCATTGTTACAGTAAAGATTTGGCCTTTATGGACACTAGAAAATAAAGATATATACAAGGAATGATTACCTAAAATGATAATTGAACTGTGAGTTTTCTGCTGAAACCTCAAGTACGTTTAAAATTACAAGATATCACAAACTCACTCACATATTATTTTTCTAATTGTGTACTGAGTTTATGTAAACCCTTGAAATTAATCAGGAAGAATAACTTAAATTATCAAAAACAAAAATAGGGAATTACCTCAATGACAGTCCATTGTTCTACAACAATAGCATCATTTCCTTTCCTCTCCGAACCTGGAAACCCCGGTTCTTCTTCATATATAAATAACCCTTCTAATGATTTGGGCCCAAAGTCAGCTGGAGAAAGAAAAGAAAAAATAAATGCCATTTAGAAAAATATCTAAATTTTATAGTACTACACTTATATATTAAGAGGAGTATGCTTTCCTTTTCTGTCTCACACATGATCATTCTGATGTGATTGTCAATGGACTGAATTTGGTAAATTTAAATTACTTACTTACTTGCTTACTTACTTACTTACGCAAGTTTAGACACTGTGGGAAGTGTATTCATTTTATGACTCAAAACTCAAGATGAAAAAG